AGATAGATAGATAGATAGATAGATAGATAGATAGATAGATAGATAGATAAGAATGATAGATCAATAGAATGATAGAGAGACAGAATGATAATAAATGATAGATAGGTAAGTAGATAGAGATAGAATAGGTATATGCACAACCCTTTAAAAGAAAGAAATTCTGTCATGACAAAATGAAGTTGAAAGGCATTCTGTTAAATAAAATAAGCCAAGTACAGAACAACAAATTCTATATGATCTCACTTAAATGTGAGATTAAAGAATAAAAACAAGGCCTTTAATCCCAGCACTCGGGAGGCAGAGGCAGGCAGGTCTCTGTGAGTTCGAGGCTAGTCTGGTCTACAGAGTGAGTCCAGGACAGCCAGGGCTCAGTTACTCAGCGAAAACCTGTCTCTCAAATCCAAAAGAAAAAAAAAATAATAAAAAAAAAAATGAAACTGTGAGTTTCATAGAAACAGCAGAAAGGTGGTTGCCACTGATGTGGGGGGGAAGGGGGTTCCACGCCTGTCTTAGTTTGTATTAAGTATAAACTCTGTGATATTCACATAATGAGAAAAATCACCTAGTGATTCATTTCTTCATACATCCCATAGTCAGGAGCACATGACTGACTGAAACTGCTATATTTTGGGTTGATTGACTGGTTGGTTGGTTAGTTGGTTAGTTGGTTGGCTGGTTGGTTAGTTGATTGGTTGGCTGATTAAACCAGACCTTGCTTTGCACCCAAGGTTGTCTCCGATTTACTACATGGCTGGGCTGGCCTTGAACTGTCCATCCTCCTGCCTCCGTACAACAAGGTGATTGAAAGCCTGGACGTTCTCTTCTTGTGGCACCACAGAGAGACTCAGACCACACAAGCCCCAACCCATATGCCATACCCCAGACACAGCAAACTTCTGTAACCACCATGAGACGCCCCAGCCTGTCTCTGCTGCTCCCTCTTTCAAGCTATTTTGAACCGGCTCGTGGAGTCTGCACTCCTCCTCCCAGAAAACCTCACGCTTTCTTTCCTTGGTGTGCATGACACCAGCAGCCATGACAGCGAAACCAAATCCGGGATGGCCACAGCATCCAACCCCTTGGCACTAGAGAAGGCTCCCCACACAGGCTGCTGGAGTCCTTTCAAACCCACAGCTTGGTTCTGGGCCCAGCCTTGCTTCACAAAGCTCCTCACCATCTGCTATCCCAGGGACAGTACCCACACCCCACCTTAACGCAGAACCCCACTTCATTAGCTTCCCCGGTCCTCCATGCCGTTCTCACACGCCCCACACAGGCCACGGGAGCGGTGCTGGATTTTAAAGTGCTAATTAGTTCACTTCCTACAGACTCCCACAGGGTGCTTCTTCCTGTAAAGTGGCTCTAGGAAAACCACAAAGAAACCGAATCGCTTCCATAGTTTAAAAGGAAATCTGGAAGCAAGTCAACAAAGAACATTTTTCTGTCTACCAAGACTAGGCTGGAGCCTGGGAAATCGAAAGGGCCCAGTGGGGGTGAATGTGAGCAGAGACGGCAAGTAGGAAGACAGGGAGCTGATCCTCCCAAGGCTTTCTTCCCTCCACATGGCCTTCTCTGGTCCTGCCGGCAGAGCAAGGCTCCCCTTCAGTGGAGCCTCCCTAACACCCCATTTCTTCCTACCCCCTATCTTGTGAGCGGGTCATGTTTGTACCAGTGGGGCAGTGTCTGCTCCGTTCTTATCTAAAGCTGACGCTGAGCCTGGCCTCCCTCCTGCCGTGGGCCATAAAATGATCCCTCTTTTGATATCCCACAGTTCGGGTAAAATAAAACCATTATACGGCAAGCCATTTTGCATATCTCCATAGGCATTAATTTTTCAACGTGAGCATCAAGAAGAATACCACCACGAGGGCTAGAGTTCAGTGTGTTTCCTGTGAGCACAGAGCGAGGGAGAGCTGGCCCCACTGCTCACACTGTGAGGTGGTGTGGGGGTGCGGGTGATGTGCCTATCACTACCACCTGCAGCAGTCAGGAGACCTGGCCCTGGGCTCATGAGAACAGGAGACCCAGCCCTGCTCCTTCACTGACGGCAGCAAGAGCTCCTCCCCACCACCACCACCCCGCACCTGGCCTGTGCAGTACAGGGGAGCTGGCCCTGATGGCATGTCCTAGCCAGCCATGAGGGCATGAGAGTTGGAGAGCCAGCTCAGGCCCCCGCAGCCTGCAGCACTTGGAAGAACAGACCGCAGACAAGAACTGGGTGACACAGTGGAGCTGACTCTGAAGGCTTGGATGCAGATAGGCCGCCCTAAGGGCAGGAAAGCAGGACAGCTGCCCCTGCCGTCCACCGGTGGCAGCATTGGGTAGCCAAGCCAGAGCAGCGCTGCAGAGCTCGCCCTGGTGGCTCAGTGGCTCGAATGACAGGGAGCCAGCAGGCTGACCAGCTCAGATACCACCCAGGCCCAGAGCCAGGGCTCCGAATTGGCCCACCCTAAAATCTGCATCATCTGTGAACAGTTGGGACACAGTAAGGGGCACGAGCTTTATTTGATGAGGAAGGGAGGCTGCAAGGGCAAAAGGCAGATATGAGGGGATGGTGAGATGGGGGGGCTGGGGCGCATGATGTGACACAAAGAATCAATAAAAAGTTTTAAAAAAAAGAAAAAAAGCGTTCTTCCTGCTCTCCCAGAAGAGAGCAGGTTTCCAGTATCCACACGGGCAGCTCACAGCTTCTTGTAATTCCAGCTCCAAAAGCTCCACCAGTCTCTCCTGGAGAACACACACACACACACACACACACATACACAGACATGCACACTATACACATACAAATAAAATTTTAAATAATTTTTAAACCACACCACCTCATGTCTGCTTTCTGTAATTCCAGGAACCGCCTGGGTGAACATCAGAGTCTTACACAGAAAACACTCCGGGAATGACTACCAATTCGTTGCTAGCTCACTGCAAGGGCCCTTCAGGAGGGCACCGTGCCGGAAGTTCGTGAGCTTTCTAGGGGAGATACGGTTGGTGTTTCACTCTTTCCTGGCTGGCTCAACTAGAGGATAAATGTCTATACTTAAACCATAGACCAGATCTCTGACGACTGACCCGCCACACAGCAGTGAGTTCTGGACTCACTCTCCCCGGGCCTACCCGTTCTATACTCCAGTTCCGAGTACTTGGAGGCAGGCTGCAAGGCTCCTCTTCCCCTCTTTCAACGTCTGCGCCTTCATTTGAGGGATTCCCCTAAGGCCACACAGATGGACAAGTGCTACCATCAGCTCTGCCGTGCCCGTGGAGCCTGTCTTGGTGCACAGAACACTGCCATTTACGCGCCAAAATTAGTCGACACAGAACATGGTCACTGCGTTAGGAAGCAAGAGTTCACAGTGCCCAGACCAATAGACAAGCTGGTTTTATTGTGTGACATGGGCTAGGCGTCATTTTTTTTTTCTTTAAATTGCAAGTGTAACTCACTATTTTAATGCCATTTTTGAGTTTTCTAATTATCAAAAATATTAAATACCATGATTCCAATATGACCTTCTGTTTGCCCTCTTGGGATCACAAGCTATTTTATTTCCAGGCAAAATTATTATAATAAAAGCTAACATTTATTTAAAACTTATGTGCCCTGTGCCAAATGCCTTAAAAAAAACTATCTCCATAACTGGTGAGTCTGTAAGAGGGATGGGGGGACGCTGAGCTCCAAATCCCAGTTGGCCGAAAGCCGCTCTTCACCTTCCCACACCCCAGACAGAGATCTGAAAGCCCAGGAGCCTCCCTTCCCCCTGGGATGATCTTGTTCCACCCTGGGTGGGGAGCAGCTGAGGGCCTTCATCTCTGGGACAGACCCGAGGTTACTTCTCTTCTCCTGAAAGCCCAACTCCCTTCTGAGGAATCAGCCTCCACCCAGCCTGACGCTCAAAACACTTTCTAGAAAGCCTCAAAAATGCCCTAGCTTGAAACATCCACTACATTTCCGTGTGTATTTGTTCCACGCTAGACGAGTGAAACCAGCTGAAGCTAAAGGGACGGGGACCCTCTCGGGCTGTGCCGATTCAGGTACTCGAACACTGGAAAGAATTTGAATTGTCAGGAACATAGGAGCCATGGCAACTGAAGCTGAGTCTCAGCCCACTCTGTCAGGGAAGGTCTGGCAGCAGGCAGCTCAGGTCAAGGCAGCAGGAGTATGGGATGCTATCAGCTTGTTCCCATAGTGACAGACATGAACCAGGAAAAGGAGACCAGAACACAGACCAAGTAAAACCTCTGAAGACACAAACCACGTGACCAGCTTCCACTGGCCAGATCTCATCAGCTAAGGTCTCCCCAGTCAGTCATTAAAATTAGTTTACACTCAGGGACACAGTTCTTCAAACCATGAGCCTTCAGAGTGTATGACAGGTTCACATCTCTCCTAATATACAGCTGTGCAAAGCAGGGTTTTCCTGATGGAGAAATTACTGACCAGGCTGGCTTCCTGGACCTGGAACCCTGAGGACAATGGGACAATCAGGCCTCTCCCCACACCGCTTTCTCCCCTAAGCCGTGTGGGACTGGGGCTCTGCAAGTGAGGCCTGGCTTCTCTCCTTAACATGCAAGCCTATGCAGCCCCTAATGCTGGGACCCTTTAATATACTTCCTCATGCTGTGGTGACCATCCAACCATAAAATTATCCTGTCGCTACGCCGTAACTGTAATTTTGCTACCGTCATGGACCCTAATGTTAATATCCGATATGCAGGAGATCTGACCTGTGACCCCCCAAGGGGGCCAAAACCCACAGGTTGAGAACCACTGCCCTAGACCAAGGCCTGCTCAGAGGCTATGCTGACTGTTCCATGGTTGCCTCCTAAAGAAGCCAACTGAAAGAAAAACAAAGTGCAGGTAACTGTTTCCCCAGCAGGTACCTGGACCATCCGTCAGGGAAGACACCAAGCAAGGAGATGAGCTCCCCACACAGGCGCAGCTGCAGATGTGCATGGGTAAGGAGACGAATGCCGTGCTGGCCTCTGCACCCCGTCCGTTCTGTTTCGGGTCTCCTGATTCCCATCTTACGGAAAGAGGGTGTAGAAAGTAGAGGAACTTCACATCATCTCTTTGGGCTTTCTGCAAAACACAAGATTTGCTTTAGAGGCCTGAACCAGTAAGTGCAAAAGAACGCCACAGGGCGGAGTGCCTGCATGTGGCCTTATTTGCAAACTGTCTTTAACAGAAAATGTGTCGTGGAAGCCTTCATTTCTGTGTATGTTGTGTAAATATGCTTTTGTCTTAATCCCAAGTGTGGGATTTTAGTTGGGCTATAGTTTGTCCACGTCTGTTAATTGTCACGTGTGGGGCGTGATCTTTGCCAACTGGTAACTTGGCCTTCCCCGTGCCACATGGAGAGGGGAGTGGTCAAGGACTCTGAGAGTATAAATATGAGGCTGGGAACGAGACTGTGTGGAGTTGTGTGTGGCATTCGGTGTTGGCGTGTGGTGTGGAGCAGTTTGGAGAGACCAGAGATGGTGTGGCAGTTTGGAGCAGACAGACGGAGAGAAATGCTTTGGGGCGTAGTGGCGTGGAGGAGACTGCTAGCTGTGTCTGCAGTTGACAGACATTGGTATAGAGCCCTAAAGGAACTCCTGGACCCTAAACAGCCGGGAGAAGTAAAGGGGTCTGGGCCCTCCCTCCACACTAACCTTTTCTCTCTCCTACTTAAGGCTTTGGGATTGGTGGAAGGGAGGTAGAGGCCTGAAAACCCCAAATAGAGTAGAGTTTTTAAAAAGACCCCTACAGTGGCTTTCTGATTTAAAATGGACCTTAGGACAGCCCCAAACAGTGTGACTAGGGCAGGGGAAACTTGAACAAAAGAGATGCAGCGAGGAAAAAGGAAGACAGAGCAATACATGTATAGAAAAGCTGAAGCAAGAGGATGAGCCCTCAAGAGGAGGGACAAGGGACAGGGCCTTCATCAGCGCCTTCAGAAGCCACTGAACCTGCAGATTTTGACAGTGAGCTGCTTGCGCTGGGAGCAAGAGTTCTAGTATTTGCCTTTAGGCAGACGCAAGAGGATTTCTATGATTCCAGGCCAACCTGGTCTACACAGCAACTTCCAGGACAGCCATGGCTACATAGTGAGACTCTGTCTTAAAAAAAAAAAAATCAGTTTGCAGCACAAGGTACAATAGCCCCTGGAAACAGATCTTACACAGAAAGAGCAATATCATCAGAGCCCAGTCCATCTATATGGCTCTAGCTTCTGCTTTCCTTATTCTGGGCTCTTCTCACAGGCAAGCTGCCATGACGTGGTGTCCTACAGCTGTGACAGGAGAGAAATGTTGGTGGTTTCTCAGGGCTGTGAGGGGAGCTCTCTCCCCTGCCCCTCTCCTTTCTTCTGACTTTGTCCTCACTGTATCTCTTTGAACCAAGTTTCCTCCATCCTAGACTGGAGATCAAGTCAACTGATCTGAACCTGAAGTAGAGTCAGTGCCATCATGCCACAGACTGGAATCAGTAGAAAGATTTTCCTATATGGCTAAAACATCTGAGGGCAACTGGGGTCCTGGGTGTGTGTTGAGCACATAACTCAGGAAGTTGCCTGAACACACTCACCTACAGCGTCCATGCGGGCACTAAGCTATAAATGTAAATCACTGTTGTAGTGTGTCAGTGAGGAAAGCACACAGACCACTGGACCCCTGGGACCTTCACTCTAGTGGAAGGAGAATAAGTCACTAAAGAACGGGAAGCCACAATGGCCAGTTCAGGGCCTGCCATCTCACGTGTTCTGAAGGTTTACTGAATGAATAAACAGATGGAAATGAGAAAAGTGAAGGTCATTGGGAGTAGATTCTAGGTTCCTAATGCTCTGTAGATCGGGACATCTGAGCAAGGAAGCAGCTGGCTTCTGAGCCTCAGGAGGGTGACTCTCGGCACAGACCCTGCCACCCACAGATGTGTCGTTCTCAACAAACACCTGAGAAACTGATTGTCAAAATGGATGTGCAAAAATCTTATGACACTAGTCCTTTTATGGAGCTAAAACGGATGTCTCTTCAATGCTGTTTTTCCATTCCCGTAATGAGCTGCTTGCCCAGATGCCCCAGCGTGATGAGAACCGTGTCCACTCTGAGGAAGAAAGAAAGAAGCATGAAGTCACCAGATTTTGCAATCTGGATCATGCAACAGCCAAATGTGTTCAGGTCCAAATGTGCTCCCTCCCTGGATGAGATCACAAATGCAGTGAGTGCTCACAGCTGAGCCTGTTAGCTTGGGGGAGGCAGGGTTGAGGGGGGAGAATTTCAAGCTCCCTGTGAGGCTCTGAGCACTGCGCCAATGCAAACCGAGTGGCACTGGCCTTGGGGCACATTCAGCACCTCAGAGTCCTCAGTGTTAACTGCTGCCTTCACTAATCCGAACATCCTCTTTTTGAGCTATAATTTCTATCCAAGACCATGGAGGCTGAGAGAGTACAGCCTGAACCCTCTGACACCACGAGCCAAAGTAAATATTTCCCCGAAGTTGTTCCTGTTGGGATGTGGTCACCACTATGCAGAAGTACCCAAGCCACCTACTCATCGCCTCCTCAATCTAGAAACCAGCCTCAATCCACCTCCCACAGAGACTGCAGGAAGCCCGAATGTGGAGATTTCTCTGGAGAAATGGCCACTACATCAAAATTTAAGAGGCTGAGGTGGAAGATAAGTTGAAAAGAAAGTGGGAATCTTCCCGGGAGAGGGAACAGAGTGCATGGTGGTCAGTGATAACGCCAGCCAGACCCCCAGCAAGGCGTGTGGCACACAGGATGGGTGGTGGGAATGAACCTGCAGAGGATATCCAGGCAGATTATGAGGGAGAGCAACATGCATGGCTGCCCTGCCTTCATCCCAAGAGCAACAGGAAAGGCATCAGGTTTTAAGTGGTGAAGGATGCACTCAGGTCTGTTTTAGAGCCATGGTGGCTACAGCACAGAGAGTAAGGAAGGGAGAAAGCCATTGACATGGCCATTGCGTGGTCCACGGTCCATGATGTAGGGGAGGGCATGGAGACAGGGACAGATTACTGTGTGGCTTGGAGGGCAAGGCAGTGGCTCTTGCTGGCTAATTAGCTTCAGAGTTGATCCTGAGGAAGCTTGTACGTCAATGTCTGACTTGCACTCATGTATTTGGATACTTAGTGGAGCCAGGGACTGAGGAAGGGCATCCTAGAAGAAGACAGGGGTGTACTGATGTGCTGGAGAAATCTTTTTAAATTAATGGGCTTTATCTTACGCAGCTTTAATTTTATAGAAAAATGTAGAGGTAGAGTTTCTGTAGCCTTCATCTCCTACTCACTCCCATTAGAGCCTTCCACAAGTGGGGTACGGTTGTGACAAATGACTCATCAATGTTGGTGTGTCATGACCACCTATGGTGAATAAGTTCCAGTGGGGTTTGTGATGGCTAATCTTGGTTGACGACTTCACCGCATCTGGAATCAACCCAAAGGAAAGCCGCCAGCCACACCTGTGAGGAATTTTCTTGGTCAGATTATTTGAAGCACAAAGCCCCACCCCCCAACATGGTTGGCACCTTCTGACCAGATAAAAGGACATGGAAGAAGATAAAAGGAAGAGTATTGCCGACACTCTCGCTGGCAACTTCATCTATCCCATGCCTTTGCTGATACTAGAAACAGCTTCTTCAGGATTCCAATGGAAACAGAGCAGCAGCTTGACACGAATCCTCCAGGGAGCCTGTAAGCCACTCTAATAAATCATAAATGTGTGTGTGTGTGTGCACCCATTCTATCAGTTCTGTTCCTTTAAAGAACCCTGGATAATACAGGCCTTGCTCTGTGAAATCTCTGAGTACTATACATTTCGACAATACATGACGTCACACACCTATTCTACCACTGTAAAGCATAATTTCACCACTCCTAAAAATTGCCTGCTTTTCATCTATTCATTTCTCCCTTTCTTGCAACCCACTGATATTTCTTGTCCCTACAGTTTTGTCTTTCCCACAATGACACAAAATTAGAAAAAAAAAAATTCATGAAGTCTTTTCAAAAGAGCATCTTCTACTTAACAACAAGCTGTTTAGATTGTTCTAGATCTTTCTGTGGCTGACTGGTGTGTTTCTTTCTACCGTTGAGTAGTGTATTGTTGTGGTTATGCCAATACTTGCCTATCCACTCCCTTACAGAGCGAAGAAGTGACATATTCATATAGTGAGGAGCTGAAAATGAGAGAGATTAAGGAACAAGGAACTGTGTAAGAAGAGGGATGTGCAAGGAGGATGAGCCAGGTCAAATAAGGTCTGGGTGGTGGAGGGCTGCACCACAAGGCGGCGTCTAAGAGTCTAGGTCAGAGTCACCTGTACAGAGTAAACCTGGCACCTCTGGACCTCAACCACCTTCTTCCGCTCCATCACACCCAACCCTCGTCTCCCCGACTGGCCGGGATTCTATACCTGGAGCTCAAAGTACTGAATTCAGAGACTTAGAATTTTGTGCATTTGATTGACTCCCAATAAATTTGTCACTTATGAAAATAAAGGCTTTTTTAGTTACTACTGTCTTGAGTTTCATTTAAAAAAAAATCATTAAATGGATTTTGATTTGGAATTAGGAGGAAACACCCAACAGTTTCTGAAATGTCCCTAGACATGCTTCTGCCATTTTGTGCTGTGTTTTTACATGATGTAGCATTCTCGCTTTGACAACTGTCACAATAAAATATTGATTGGCTATGAAAAGTGCTCTGAGGTGTCATTCAGCCAAGATCAAATTTTCTGTATAAAAATAAACAACTACGTCCACTTATCAGTCTTATTTATTATTTATTAGCCTTATTTCTTTCCATCTCTAATAAATGGTAAAAATTTTATGTATGACAAACAACTGTGTTCAAATAAGTTTATTTATGATTTATTATCAATGGATGTTTGGTTCTATGTATCCACATATCCTAGGTTACATAAAATTTTCTCAGGCTGAATGTGGTCCTGCGTGAGAAAAGCGTAAGTACCATGGTCCACAGTAACATCTTAGTCTGTGATAAATGAAAAGCTGGACTGGGCGGTTTACAAATTACAGAAATGAATGTCTCAGAGTTATAGAATGTGGAAATATGACATCAGAGTGACAGCATGATTCTCGTGGAGACCCTTTCCTGGATGACAAACTGCTGGCTTTTCCTTGTACCTTCACATGGCAGATCAGAGGAGGAAACTCCCTGAGGTCCTCCCTTAACGCTGCTCATTCCACTCCTGGGGGTTCAGTCCTGTGACCTAATTACTCCCCCAAAGTCTGATTATAATCCTCCTGGGCACTGGGATTTCAACATATGGATTTAGAGAAGGCAGCAATGGTTATCCCATTCCAAAGGGTGTAACAGCCCGGGAGACTGGGCTGGGGACATGGCTCAGTGGGTAAAGGGCTTGCTGCGCAAACATCAGGACCTGCATCTGGATTCCCAGAAGCCCAGCAGGAAAGCAGATGAGGTGATACATACCTATCACCTTAGCACTGGGAGGCAGAGACAGGGGGATACCTGGAGTTAACAGGCCAGCTAGTCTTGCCAAGAGAGTGAGCTCCAGGTTCAGAGAAAGAGAGTGATGAAATGATACAGGAGGCTGGAGGTCGCTCAGCAGTTAAGAGCACCATCTGCCCTTCCAAAGGACCTGAGTTTGGGTCCCCGGTTATAACCTTCTTTAGCTCCAGTACTCGGGGAGTCTACACTCTTCTTTGGCTTCTGTAGGCGCTGCATGTATGTGGTGCACAGACACTCATACAAAAAAATTTTAAAAAACCAGTGTAAAGCGATAGAAGATACCCAACATCAACCTCTAGCCTGCACACACACATGCACCTGTGCACACAGACACATATACATACATACATACATACATACTGAACCTGTACACACATAGACACATAAACAAACATACATTTCACTCACTCACACACATATACACACACACAACAGAATAACCATAGGAGACTACTATCACCTAAAAAGTAAATCAATTTCTTCCATTGTATCTTCCACACCTGAAATTATTTCCTCCATCTCTAGTATCTGTTGGAGAGGCTTACCTCTGTCGTTCCTGTCCTCTTCCCTAAGTTCTCCCTCCGGGATTTCTTCAGTTTGTGCTTTCTTTAATGTTTCCATTTCCACCTTCAGATCTTTTTTTTTTTTTCACCTTCAGATCTTGAACAGTTTTGTTGATTTCCTTCACCTGTTTGTATTTTCTTGCCTTTCATTCAATTCCTTCACCTGTTTGTTTGAACTTTCCTCTATTTCCTTCAGTGATTTAATTATTTCCTCTCTAAAGGTCACAATCTGTTTGACTTTATCTTCCTGTATTTCTTTACAGATTTTATTCATTTCCTCCATTGTCATCTTCATAAGCATAGATTTAAGGTCGTTTTCTTAAGTTTCAGCTGTATTAGGGTGTCCAGGGCTGCTTGCCTTTAGATAACTGGGTTCTGGAGATGCCACAATACTTTGGCTGTTGTTGATTGTGTTTTTAAGCTGGTCTTACCCATCTGGTTGTCTCTGACATTGACTAGTAGTTTCTGGTGCCCACTGGAGTCTGAGGAGGGCAGAGAGCAGGAAAAGCCCTGGGCAGAAAGCTG